ATTAGAATAATGATATAATGAATGATGAAATGATAGAATAATAATAATAATAATAATAACAAAATGATAACGTTAGTTGTGATGTTGACGACGATTAACACAGAATTAATGAGAATGAAGCAATGACCCGTAGCTGTCAATTAACGAATAACAACAACAACAACAATAATATAATAATAATAATAAAGAATAATAAAACAACAATAAAAATTAAGTATTATTATTAATAATAATAATAAATTATTTGCTAGCAGCGCACACCCAAAATACAACATTATCACGTGAGTACCCCAACACATGCTTATGAATCTACACCAACGATAATATATATATATATATATATATATATATATAGAATAGTAAAATTATTATTATTATCATTATAATTATTAATGAAATTAGTATTAAAATTATTAGTATTTCGGTTTCATCATAGGTAGCCAAACGGCAACCCCCGATCTCGGGGAAAATGTCGTCTAAACGTGTGTTGTGTTGTCACTACTAACATACTATTATTTGATGTATTCACAATATTAATACTTTGTTTGGCTGATAAACGTTTCCATACTTCAACTTAACACAAATGACACCAACAACAAAAACAACAATAATAACAACAACAATAATAATAACAAAAAATAATAATAGCAACAAAACACAAATGGTGTTATCAAATGTTACCAGAAAAGGAAGATATGAAGAAAATTTGTTTCTGTACAAATTAAGTTTGCTAAGGTGGTAGTTATTAAATAATTGAAGTAATTAAATCCATTTAAAAAAATATATGTATATATAATTATAATTTAAATAATTTAAATGAAATAATTAACTGATTGTACAAAAAAAAAACAAAACCACGACGACACGGATGACGGATGAAAAAAAATTATTTTTCTTAAAAAAAAGGTACAAAGAACAAAGATGAAAATTTTCTTCTGATTTTCTTTTTTTTCGGAAATATCTCTCTTTTTCTCTTTTTTTTTCTTTCAATCAATCTCTCTTTCTCTCTCCCTCGATCTTTCTCTCCTCTTCTTTTTTCTCTAGTTTAACCTCCTTGCTATTTCCTCCTCGTCTTGAACTTGAACTTTTTCAAAAAGCAACACCTGTTATTGGTCGGATAGGAAGAAAGGTTATAATAATAAAAATAATCTATCAAACAAAATTTAATTTAAAAGAATAATGAATTAAGTAAATGACCAGTTAATCAGTTGGTCAGATAGTCAGCCAGCCAGCCAATCAGTCAGTCAGTCAAACAATTAATTAAAAACATTTAATTGATTTTTTTATAATTAATTAGTTAATTAACTCACCACGGTTCCGTCGGTATTCGTTCTTGTACTTGATTGACATCTGTGGTGAAAGGTACATTAGATGAAGACCCGCCCAATCGACCAGTTTCCTCCCTATTGGTTGCTGACTGTGACCCAATTGAATATATTCAACATTAATAACCAATTGTGGAACATTATTTCCTCCCTATTGGTTGCTGACTGCGACCCAATTGCATATATTCAACATTAATAACCAATTGTGAAACATTATCTTTAACGTGTGGATTTAATGGAAATAAATACGAAAAAGAACGGAAAAATTTATCAAAATGAACCAGAACGACATACACCAACCTGATTGATGTTTAGTTTATTTTTTTCTGGCTTTACGATGTTTGTGATGGACTGATTCGTGCTAGAAGCCAACGAAGATGATGACTGCAAGGGGTGAAAAAATAAAACCAGACCAATCAACCAAGAAAGTGAATTATGTATGACTGACGTGTGAATTGTGTTCGAATGACAAGTGAATTATGTTTGATTGACGTGTGAATGGATGAAATTTGATTAACGTGGTATTCAACAACCAGCCAGTCTGGTTGCGAAGAATTATATATTAATGATAATAATGGATTAGCTGATCAATCGTTCAGTTAATCAGTCAGTTGATCAATCAATTAATCAGACAAACAACCAACAAACCAATCGATCAATCGATCGATCAGCCAACCACTATATGACAACAACAACAAAAACAATGTATTAAAAAAAAGTACTAAAAATAGAAACTTTTAATAAACAAATGTATAAATAATTAAAAACTTCAAAAATAACGTTGTTAATAACTTCAACAAATGAATACTAATAACAATAATAATCATAATCATATTCCTAATAACAATAATAACAACGATAATAATGATATTCAAATAAAAAGTACAATAACAAGAGAGAAACTTATACAGAAATCTTAATTAGAAAGTTAAACAGCAAATTTATATACTAATTATTATCATCATCATTAACTCCATCATCATCAAAATCCCCCTCATCAACGTTTGGGAGACATGATGGCCTAGCGGTTAAGGTCGCCTGGTCCTGTCAGGCAGACACCGGATTCGAATAAGACCAATGTACACTATCACACGCAAAGTGTGCATGATGAGTCGTTTGGGTTAAACAGGCATTCTTATATGCTGTTTGTGTGTGGTGGTTCATTCATCTGAATTTTGGTAAGGTGTAATAGACTTTAAATCTTTTTTATTAGTTTGTCAACTTGAAACCTTAAATAAACACACACACACACACACACACCAAACCTTAAATAGAAACAAATAACGACGCTAATAACAACTCAAAAAACCTTATTCGTATTCTTTACTATCTCTACGGCGAAATGAACAAAATCACGAAAAAATGTTACAAATTGAATTTGATTAAAAAAAAATTAAACAAAATAAACTAACTAATTGTTTTTAAAAATCCTAAAAAATATTATACTAAATTGGATTTTTTCCGAACGACGGCAGAGCACTAACAAAATAACACGCAAATGAATAGAGTGGCAGTAGTGGTGGTAGCTGCAGTAATGGAAACTGCAAAAGTAGCTGCAGGGCAGATCGCTAGTGATCTGTATTTGGTTGACTGAAGAGCGTGGCACTAGTGATTCGTGTGTGTAACGTGTGTATGTGTAAGTGCGTGCATGTGTGTATGTATGCGTGTGTATAAGTGTTGTTTGTTGCTTGTGTTTGTTTGTAAAAGTGTGTGTGTGCGCGCGTATGTGCGCGTGTGTAAGTGACATCGTATGTGTGTGTGTGTGTGCGCGCGCGTGTTTACTTGAAAGCGTGTGTATATGTGTGTTTATTATTTATTTATACATTTTCGATATGCGCAAGTTTGTAATGGTTGTCAGCATTTTGCGAAGACCTACCTATTGGCCGAACTTCAAAAATTAGTTTAGATATCTTGGATCTATCCAATCAGTCATAAAACTGGTCTACTTGACAAATACTGCTTTTAATAACCCTAATCATACTAACTATTACTGATACTAAAATTATTACCTTATATTAATAATAATTACTAATAATATTTGAACTCGCTGTGAATAACCGTTATATGAATGAATACATACAGATCATAGTAGATGAGTAGAACAGACTTTGTTAACACTTTTCAAATTGTAGTTTAAATATACATGATATCTAAATGTATACAAATGATACAGATACAAAAATATACAATATAGATACAAAGATACACAAACAAAATACGCTTATAATACAATGTATATATAGATATATAAATTTTGATATGAGAGCACAGATATGCCGATATAAAAGCAACGCTATGTTTTTTTACTCATTAAAAATAAATAGATAAATTAATTAATTAAGATTAAAATAATTGATTTATTAATTAATTAACATGATAATAATGATCATTTAATGCACACATTAACATACATCATCACAATTATCATCAGTCAGACTTTGTAAAGACACCACAGCGATGTTAATGTATTGTCTCATTTATAAATGAAAGAGTTTTTCAGACCACAAAAAATAAATTAAATATACTTCTAAATATAGATAGATAGATAGATGGATGGATAGATAGATAGACAGACAAACAGATTGATGGATGGATGGATGGATGGATAGATGGGTGGATGAATAGACAAACAGAAATAGAGATAAACAGACGCACAGACTGAACATCATAAAATGAAAAGTAGCGAAAACACCTTTTGACCTTCTGCTTGATGATCCAGTCAAACTCCCAATCAACGTCCCAGCCATTTTTTTTCATCAGTCCCCGGAACAGATTCCGGAAGTATTCGTAGTTCGGTTTCTCGGCAAAACCCAAACCCCGGGCGTTTTCTAAATATATCTTGAATTCTTCTGATTGGTCAGTGGTTCAAACGATGATGGTGACGATAATATAACATAATAATAATATTGATGATGAGGAGGACGATAATAAGGAATAATAACAAAAGAATAAAAAGTATGATTAATCTTTCAAAATCAACAAAACATACATCTTCATTTAGCTTAATATGATACAGATTGTTCGATCTCGTAAAACATAATTTTTTTATAAACACACAACGCAAGCAACAAAACATAAAACAACACAATATTCATACAACATGCGAACAAACAACAACAATCTCAGTAGCAACCAGCAATTGACATACAAGCAACCACAAACATAATAAAAACAAACACACACAAACAAACGAACACACACACAAACAACCAGTAACAACGCAACAAACATACCAGGATGCCCTTGACAGAGGGAGGCGATAGGGGTAATACGTTTGGTCTCGCCAATCTTCTGGTACCTCTCCTTCAGGGTTTCTGTCTTGAGGCCCTGCCAAGGTAAGGAGCCCCGCAGGAAGTACATCAACATGTGCCCTATCGCCTCCATGTCGTCTCGTCTGCTTTGTTCTGTATGTTTGTATGTATGCTTGTTTGTTTGTATGTATGTTTGTTTGTTTGTTTGTTTGTTTGTATGTTTCTTTCTGCGTTTGCGAAATGATGATGATTGTTATGATTTGACTATGATCCTGAAGTTAATGCTGATAACAATATTCATATAACGAGGTCGTAAATATGAAGATGATCAGTCGCCAATAACGATATCAATGAAAGCAGCGATATCAACAGCAACTTCAAAATCAATATTATCCCCGAAAAACAATTCAACATAATCAATCACGATAGTAGAATCTAACAAGGGCTAAAAACAGCTGAGAAAACAGAAACGTACCGATACCGAGATGGGTGTTGATACTCATGTAGCGCGCGGTACCGGTCAGACTCTTGTGTTCTCTGTACGGTATGTGCTCTTGCGTGGTCGGGTCGATGTAGAGTTTGGATAGGCCGAAGTCGATGATGTGGATGATGTTCATCTTTTTGTTTGACCACCGGCCCACCAGGAAGTTCTCCGGCTTGATGTCACGGTACACGATGTGTTTGGAATGGACATACTCAATCCTGGTCATCTGTGTGAGTGAGTGAGTGAATGAATGAATGAATGAATAAACGCGTGAATGAAAGAATGAATTAGTGAATAAAAGAGTAAGCAATAGAAGAATGCAAGAATTGGCTGATGGATTAAATAGTTTAACCGCGAATGATGATGGATAAATAAATGACTGTGAAATGATGATCAGATGAATTGTCAAATGAATGGATAGATTGATAATTAACCAGAGTGATGACTGTATGGATTTTATTGATTGCTACGACATTTGCAAACGAAGGACAAACAGAAAGGTACACATTTTTGTGTACGCTCACATACGCAAACACAAGGATACACACACACACACACACACACACACGCACATAAACATACACATACAATGTTGCTCTCGTAAATTCTATGATATAGAAAACCAAAAAAGACATAGTTATAAAATATACAGAGGCAAAAGGGATGAAAAGAAAGAATAAAAGAAACGAAATGGAGAACGTGTTGAGGTTAACAATGGCAACCGACTGAAAATGAAAGATCAGAGATGAATGTTTAATGAGATGCAGTGTAAAAATATATAAATAACTAGTTTTTTTTAATTTTTTATCATCTGAGAAGTTTTGTGAAAAATTCTTTTTTTTTCAAATGTGAATTTGGTACGTTTTTATTTCAGTGTGAAAAAAATGTTATTTGACCACAAAAAAAATTCAGAAATTAAAATTCTATTGCTCTCTGCGCATAAAATTGTGAATGGCTTTTCAATCCCCCATCCAACAACCTGGTCACTAATTTGTCACTTGCCATCTACGAGGTCATGAAAATAATGCAACAATCATACAAAATTCAATACAGAGGAAAATAAATAAACAAACAAATGAAAACTATCGTACAATTTCTAAATTAAACCAGACTAAGCCAAGGAAAAAATGACGACCGCGGTGTTTTTATATTTTATATCTTCCGGGCAGGATCATTCAAGCAAACGGTCGATCCCGAAAGATAGAAAATATTATCAAAAAAACATCGCGGTTACCATGCCCTGGAGTAGAGGGGTGAACAATCGTACCAGCTGAACAAACCTTCCAGCTGAACAAACCTACCAACAAACAAACTTACCAACTGAATGGCGATCATGGCGATAGTTTTCATGGAAAATTTTTTGTCGAATTTTTCGAACAGATCTTCAAGGGTGGGCCCCAGGAGTTCCATGACGAGAGCGTTGTGCTTGCCACAAGGGCCGAAGTAGTACACCAGTGGAACACCCTCTGTGAATTATTATTTTCAATTATTGTTATTTTAATATTATTATTATAGCATTATTATTTTGAAAAATTATTATTATATGATGATTAGATGGATCAGGATGAAGCAAGAATAATGAACATGATGACAGTAGTACAGATGAGATGACGACGGTGGTGATTTCAATAATGATGACGATGGTGACAATGAGAATGACATTAGGGAAATGACAAAAACACGGAGATGAATCATCGTAAAAATGAGCTCATGATAAAACTGTATTACTTATTAAATTAAACAATCAAAACATATTATTTCATATTAAATAATTAACATTATAATAAACAACCTCATCATCGTCGTCATCACCAACAAAATCATCACCATCAGCCAAATATTTTATACTATCATAAAGAGAATTGCGATTCACTTTAATTTTATTGAACACTTAACGTAGTAACATAATATGAAACGCGCCTCTCTGTGTTTGCCAGCGCGTGTGTCTGTGTGTGTGAATACGTGTGAGTGTGTCTGTGATGTTGATACTTATAAAAATTAAGTCTACATACATCCAGAAGTCAGAAACCAAAACGAAATGAAACGTTAACAAAACGAAATCAACCAAACAAAAAAAAACACCACTACTAATGTAAAGGGAAGCTATTGAAATGTGTTGTATGTAGATGTTTTCTTGTATGTGCGATCTAATTCTTAAAATATGAAAAAGAAAACTTTCTTAAAATAAATTTAAGACAGAACGAAATAAGAAAATAAATGTGAGTCGCAATTAGCAGAGAAGAAGTGAATAATCCAACGAACGAATGAAGAGATAGACGGATGGATGGATGTACGAATGAATTAATTCATTATTTAATGAATGAATGAATGAATGAATGAATGAATGACAGTCTAAAAAATAGTAGAAAAGCAGATGATTAACATGTACAATGCTAAACTATTTATGCAAGACGACTGGCTTCAATTTGATTGAATTGTCTGTTAGGTGATCGTTGCGCTATCAAGGTTATTAACCTCACTAAATGAGTGACATTATTTTAATAAAAATGATGATGGAGGAGAAGAAAATGATGATGATGGAAAAGAAAATGATGATGGAGGAGAAGAAAATGATGATGAAGGAGAATAAAATGATGAAGATGTGACGAATGATAAAGACCACGAGTATGACGATAATTATGGAAAAGTGCTACGACGGCAATAACAACAAATGACACCATACCTATAACAAGATGTTTATTATATTATGATATTATGACGATAATAAATAAATAAATAAATATTTATAAATGATACCAAATGATATGATGGTGACGAATGATGATGGTGATGACGAAAACTTGATGGTTAGTAGTATTGATAACGATTAAGTCAAGTCGGACGCAGAAATAGTTCACTGCAATTAATCAATTATATTGCCAGGAATGCAGTAGTAGTAATAGTAGCAGTAGTTGTAATGTTAACCAGAATCTAAATGCAAAAACAGTACCATGGTATGTGTGTGTGTGTGTGTGTGATTGTGTGTGTTTGTGTGTGTTTGTGTGTGATTGTGTGTGCGTGCGTGAGTGCGTGCGTGTGTGTTGACACAGAGAGAAAGAAGCTCCATATTATGGTAAAAATGTTAATTAGAAAGTGTTCATCTTATACAAGAACCACTTAAGAAATATTGAGATCGGGTCTTAAAAATAAAACCAACACCAGCAGAAAGTGGTAAAAACTAAAGAATAACAAAAATAATAATAATAACAGCATATAAAAAAATAATAATAAAACAATAAAAATAAAACGAGCATTGTTAAGTGATAATGATGATAATAATAATAATCATCATCGCCATCGTCGTCATCATCACTGAAGAAGACTTGTTTACTTAGCGTTTCAAGAATTATTTAACAAATTCATCAACGACAATGAAGTAATAATAACAGCAATAATAATGAATAATAATAATAACTTCTTTCTCGTTTTTTAACAATATTAGCAAATAGACTTGAAAAGATACCTAAACTTAAACTCAGACAGGCAAAAAAGATACACACACACACACACTCACACACACACACACACAAACTCTCACACACACACAGCCCTGCATACATATACACACATACATTACATACACGT